AAGCTAAACAAGACCAGAATATAGAGGAACGTAAACATAAGGAGGGCTGCCTATGATAGCTTTACATGTAGTGTCTGCCCTGACCTCTGCTAATACTACCCACAAAGCCCAGCTTTTCTTACTGTGACAGAAAGAACACACTGAGGATCAGTTTTCTTCACAATACTAATGAAACAGTACATACTCATCTGCCAGCCTGGCCTACTCTCCCTGGACTTAACTTCAGTTAAGACAGTTCACTACTCTTATACATATGCCACAACCAGGACTCCTTAAGGAGGCCCAGTGCTACTGACATGGAGCAAAGAAAAGGTGGAAAAGGTCTTCACTATAACTTCACTGTGTTTGTACATCCTCAATTCACTCCAAGAATAAATTTCTCAAATATGAACCTATACAATTTGGAAAACTTGCAAGATTGATTTCAGACACCAAAACCCCCAGATGCAATGGTCACAAACATACTGAAACCACAGAATAGGTAATGTGTTTCACATGTACAGAGACAGTCAGCACGAGTTAATGATACACTGGGACAATGTAAAAAACAAAAAAGAACCTTTTGGTATCATCTACCACCAAAAATTTCTCAGCTAGAAAAGCTTATTATCAGCTGGAAGAGTGATTTCTCCTTTATTTTTCAGTGTATTAGGTTTCAAAAATGCTCTTGGAGGAGACAAACATTGACAAGTGCTGAAACAGGAAGGGCTAACCACTCTGTCATTTTAGCCTAACCAAACCCCAACAGGCTGCAGAGATAAGTAGACTGGGTAAGCAAAATAGATGGAAATTACAGCATCTGACAAACATTCTCAGCAGCATGGCAACAAGCACCACAAAATAACTCTTAAAGTGTACACCAACCTTCGATTTCCTCTTCCTCCTCTTCGTCCTCCTCATCACTGGATTCGCTGACCTGAACAGTAATGGCAGTGCTAGTAACAGTGGTCCAGTCAAAATAGACTCCAAATCCAATGTCATAATCATCTGTAGCAAACTCCCAGCAAACACGTTTCCCGTCAGGATGGGTTGGCACACGAACTGTCACCACCTCGCCTCGTTTCACCACCATCCTAGCACTCTTCTCCTTTCCCATCTTGGCTTTGAATTCCTTCATCTTCCCTGTGGTCCATGTAGTAGGTGGAGCCAGAGGGGGAGGCTGAGCTGAAACAAGGGGAAAAGATCATCAGCTCATATTACTACTGGCCAAATTACCATAAATAGCTTCACTGTTTTCAGTAAGGCTCTTGTATTCTAGAGTCAGATATGAAGTTTTCTCACAACACTAGCAAGGAGCCCGCAGGCTAGTGGGAACCAGCAGTGAACAGGAACCCAGCAGTGCCTCTAAGACAGCCTCTGCTGTTCTCTGGCCAAGGCAGGCAATGGCACTAAAAAAAAAAAAAAGTGGCCACAGAGTAATTTACAAGTTAGGTCCTTTCAGGCCTCACCTTTTCTCTGCTCTCCAAGGAGATCTGCAGTTTCCAGCTCAGCTGAAAGGATGTCCACAGCACCAGTGTGATCTGACTGAATCATGACTATATCCCCTGCTCCTTGATGTATGTGGTACTTGGTCATTCGAGTAAGAGCTTCCTGCACAAAGCACATACACCCAGTCACAAAGATTATAATGTTAATAAAGTCCTCAGATGGATTTACAACAACTCAGTAGTAATTCACGCTGAAGTCAAGTCAGATCCTGCAGAAGTTTCTGTTAGAACTAGAAAGAAGCATCTCGGTCTGAGGCACCTCGATGCATTACTTTCCCCATGGCACCACACACTCTGCAGTCACACACTGCATTCATGTCACAAACCATACACCCCTTAGCTTCCCCAGGAGCCTCTGGGCAGGCACATGTTTGCATCTTTCTGAGATTTAATTGTCATCTTTCAGCAAAGCAATAGCCTTGCAGATGCAGCTGACTGCTCCTGGAAAGCACTCCCAACGCGCTGCTTCTCTAGGGAAAGCCCTTCAGCTCTGTCTGCATCAATACTGCAGCACAATCACACTGACATCAACTGCATCCTGGGTAAAGGTCCATCTGGTTTACTGGGGCCAGGCCTCTTTCCATATATGAAAATACTCAGCTCCTGAGCTGTGTGACACTTGCACAAGTTTTCCCAGCTGTATTTGTAATAGCAGCAAATTGGCTGCTCAACAAAAGAAACAAAAGATGGCAGATTGCCTTCCACACTCTATTCCATAAACATGCATGAAGGGAATCCCCAGAAAACCCAAGAGGCAGAAGGTGAGAATAACCCTGAAACCTTGGCACACCAGAAACTGCAAGGAAGTAAGGACTAGCATAGTACACAAGAGAGATTTTGCAAAGTCAGTAACTTCTACTTCTCACATATGGAGGACATAAGGGTTCTGTTAAGATGAAAGTTGATTCACTTAAAGCCTGTCCCACAGTCATTAAGCATAACAGTAGGGTGGAAGAAATGTTGTTGCACCTCCTTCCTTTCTTTTAGATGTCAGAAACAACCACCTACCTCTTTAGTGGACTGGATTTGGTCAGGCAGCTTTTCTTCTGCTTCAGCCACTTTCTGGTCCTCCAAAGTGCAACTGTCTTCCTTTGAATCCTCTATCACGTCCGCACTCACAGGTGACTCTATCTGCGACCTCTCAGAGGAAGAAAGCACCACAATTCAGCACTTACACTCAGGTCACAAGCAGCAGAGCTCAGCTGTGAGAAGGATCACTCCAAGGCAGCCAGAATTCAGAAGGACAGAGGCACTGAGCATCCTGCCCAACACCTTTGCACCCGCGTTCTGCCCTTGTCTTCTCACAAAGATCTTCCATACCAGACAGGAGTAACTTCAGAGACATATTCCATATTTAATGCCCTTTAGACAGCAGCTAATTCACTGCATATGCTCAGTGCAGTGTTTGTGAGCATAGAAACAGCAGCAACTTTCCGCTCAATAAAAGATACCTTCTGTTATGCCAGCTACTACGTGACATCAGAGGCCAACTAGAGCAGTGAAAGGATTCAGAACAGTTTTGAGAACCTGAAAGTGCCCTACCACAACCTTCCCCATCAGCAATCCCAAGAAATACAGAAAACATGCAGGTCTCTCTGCCATATTCAGACATGCTGCACAGACAAGAAAGCTGTACACCACACAATGGCAGGACAGCAACAGTAAAGAGGACCAAGATCTGTACTGTGATGAGTGAGACATTCCAGAACAAAAATAAAGGTTCAAACGAGGAAAATGAGCAAGAAAGGAAACATTCCTGGCATTCTATCTCTGCTGAAGACTTTTTTAAAATTACTGTCAACAACAAAAAAAATCCTTTCACGTGGGAGAAAGTCTCATTGGCAACGGATCAGACTATGAATCTAGTTCGGAATAGTTTAAAAAAGATTGCAGCTCCACTCAGACATATTCCACGCTGAGTGTATACAGAAGACTAGAACTAGAACAGGGCAAACATGGCTCATGTTACCATGAGCAAGCTTTTCAAGCAGATCTACAGCATTCAGCCAATTCCTCCTCAAGCAGCCTTCTCAGATCATTCTTTTTGGACCCCTTCCTTTCAAAGGAGATTCAACGTACACAAATTCATCAGGTAACACCCATGATTACCCAGCAACTACTTTGGCCATTCTACTCACAGCCTATATTCATTCCTTGAAGAAGTCTGGATAGCATAATAAAGAGTGATATAAAAAATGCCTGGACTTGAGAAGGCTGATGTCAGTGTCATCCACATCAACTAAGATGACATCAAACAGCTGTTTTAATGAGTCACTTGCTGTTGTCTTTTCTTTTTTAAACGAGGCTGATGTTTAACAGATAGTGTGATCTACTTTCTGACAAACTGAGCTTGCAGATTTCTGAAACTGTGTCACAAGCAACACGCGTACTCTAACAAAGTAAAACTCCACACACCCAGCCGTAACGACAAGCCAAGCATCTGATAAGGTGGCCAGGCAGCAGCATCAGGGGAAGGCTGATGCAGAAGACAAAAGCTGAAGAACAAAAAACGTCGTCAAGAAAACAGCAGAAGGAATATGTTTGCTCAGCCTCCACGCAGCACAAGTCCTTAAGCATTGAACCGCCCCGAACATTTCTTGAAAGCTCATTAGTTCTTACTACGAACTACAAAACCTTCTGGAGTTGACTGCAACCTGACCGATTCTGCAGTGTGAACAGGTGGGCCACTTTGTTATTTCATCGGCTTTAACACGTAAGCCCGCAGGGACAGCTCCTCCTACACCGAATCCAGCACACACTGCCCGAAAGCAGACAGCTCGCCCTGCAGCCCCCTCTCTGCAGCCGGGCAGGGGCCGCTCCCGCACGGCTCAAAGCAGACCCGCTTACGCCCGCGGGGCACCGAACACACGAACGCTTTCCTACCCGCACGGCGAGGCGCTGCGCTCCGAGCCATCGCCCCGCTGCTCTGCGGGCTCCGTCCTCTGGGCAGCGGCTTCATTCTCTAGCAATCAGAACGCAGGGAGAGAAGTCACTTTCCGTCCTCGTGAGCGCGCAGACAGGAGGCGCGCAGGCAGCGCTCAAACGAGGACCCCCGCGCCCCCCGCCTGCCGCCCGCCCCGCGGAGCCGCACGGCAGCCCACGCTGCATCCCCACGCCGCCGCCCCGCCCGCCGCCGCCGCCTCCGGCCCCGCAGCCCGGCACGTACCTAAGGAGAGCTCGGCGCCGCCGAAGCCGCCCGGCGCCCCGGCGGTCGGGGGCTCGAACCGGGAGCCGGCGGCGGCGGCCAGCACGTCCGACATGGGCAGGGCCGGCGGGCGCGAGGCCCGGGGCGGCAGCCTGCCTCGGCGGAAACACCCGAGCGGAGCCGAAGCTCTGCGCCCGCCGTCGGCGGAAACACCCGAGCGGAGAGAGAGGCGGAAAGAGCCGAGCGGCGTGTGTGCGGAAAGGGGGCGGCGTGGGGTACCGCGGCTTTTGTGTCCCTCCCCGACAACGGAGCCAATCGAGAACGGGTTCCGCAGAGCCGCCGGCGCGCTGCCAGCGGGGGGCGGGGGAGGAGGCGGAAGGGAAAGCGGGGTGCGCTGCAGGAAGTGGCGGTTGCCGGGGCAATGGGGCTCGGGGGGACGCGCGTCCGCCGATGGGGCCGAGCCCGGGGCGAGGGCCCGCCCGCCCAGTCCTGGCCTGGGGAACCGCCGAGGTGGCGGAGTGGGTGTCGGGGCTCGGCTTCCCTCAGTACCAGGTGCGGGGCTGCCCTTCCTGGTCAGAGGCACTGGACACGGTGATGGAACAAGGGGGAATGGGTTTAAGCGAAAAGACGTTTGTCTTAGGTTAGATGTTGGGGAAATTCTTTACTCAGAGGGAGGTGAGGCGCTGGTGCTGCTGCCCAGAAAAGCTGTGGTGTCCCATCCCTGGAAGCACTGAAGGCCAGATGGATGAGGACCTGGGCAGCCTGAGCTGCGGGGTGGGGGAGGCAGCCGGGTGGGCTTTGAGGTCCTCCCACCCAAGCCTTTCTGTGATTTTATGATTCTACAACACCGGCAGGGGATGGCCGAGGGCTACGGATGTCCCATTGCCTTCCCTTCTGCTTCTCTGCCCAGGAGTGCTTCAGAGCCAATGGCATCACCGGCCGCCGCCTCATCCTGGTGAACTGCTCCAGCCTGCCGGCCCTGGGCGTCACAGACTTTGGACACATGCAGGTGCACCTGTGTGCTGCGGCGCTGCGGCTGCCTCGGCCTGTCAAAGTCCAGCTCCAGCCTCTCCTGCTCACCAGGGTGCAGGGCTGTCGCTCATCTGCCCAGACAGATTTTGTGTGAGCAGTGAGCCTGAAACAAGGCGACTGGTTTCACTCAACCCAATGACTGTGTTGTTCAGGTCTTCAGATGTAACTCTAGCTGACTGGGAGCTGCAGGCTGCCCTTCCAGGACCATATCAGCCCATCAGAAGTGCCTTGCCTTTCTTTTAGCCTGTGTTGCTCCTCTGACCCCAGAAAATTGTTTAGCAAGATGCAAATATCTTTCATAGGCATTCCCTCAGAATTTCCTTTCAGTAGTTTTCCATTTACTGATCTCTTTGATTTAATTTGTAGAACATCTGCAAATCTGGGTAGCTTTAACCTGCAACAGTCAAACCACAGTTCTCAAGCAGCAGGAGGGCAACTCATTATTACTTCCTTGTTTTATACTCTGCTGAACACAAATGTCTCTGCTTCTTCCCCATTTTGTAAACATGTAATTTTCTGGTAATTTTCCTCTCAAGACCTTGTTTCCTTAAAACCACCAACAAATAAGCTTAGGTTAAGACTGCGGCTTGCCCTTCCAAAGATTCCTGAAGGTGCAGAGATGGAGCATTTCATACTTACAGTGTATGCAGGTAATTTTTGTATCCTTTTAAATTCATTTAGTTTTCACTAGGACCACAATGAAAAAGAGTGTCTTGATCTTTCATTTACTCCTCATTTTATTTTCTTATCCCTCATTTAGGGATGGCAATAGGAAACACAAGAAACCTCACCCAAACAACATGTTGCATAAGTATTATAGGTCAGTATTTGAAACACAGTCAGGTTTAATCTTCGTTAAATCATACACTTCTTTTCTACTGCATACTGTAGTTCTATGGAAACCAGCAGCTGTATAGTGGTGTGAGATACCAGAGACACTGGATGTGAATTTTGGATTAACATCAAAATAGTAAAGGACCCACTAATACTGCTTTTTGGTTTACTTTCCAATATACCAGTAACACAGCCAATGCAGGTTTTAGTCAAAGGAAATCTGGATTTTTAAAAGAGATTTTACACATCACTGTGTACATACACTGCGGAAGCAGCACAGATGTTCCCAATGTTTTATAAAATGTAAAGTAGAGGAATTAATGGTGATTTATCTTTATCTTGCCTGGGACATGGTCTGACTGCTGTGGCTTACAGTTACCCATCACCTTAAAATCAGCATCAAAAAGAAAACTACTGAAGATAAGTGCTGAGGTACCCATCAATATGTACACTGTGCAACAGTAGTCATGGCTAGAGAAGCATGAGCTTAAATTTGTTTGAATAGTTCCAAGAGAGATATTTCAGTCAGGAATGGATCTGCTGTGTGAATCACGGTCATCAACTATTGACTGTGATTTCAGTTGCAATCATATGCTTTCCCTTAAATGCATCCCCTTAAATGCATCCTCCCCTTTGACAATCAAATCCAGTCTCTTGCAAAGTCAAACTTCTGTATCTTGAATCCAAACAAAAGGTAATAAAGACTTTTGCCATTGAAGAAACGTATTTATGTACTAAAAAGAGCCTTAAAATAACATGTAGGAGGAAACCTAGATAAAACTGCTTTCCACTGATGTAAGCTGCTGGTATAAGAAACCACATCAGAGACACAGCTAATGCAGAAAGAACAGAAGGAGGTCTGATTTGGGATCAAAAGGTAGTAGGTTTTTACACAACCCTCAGTTCAAAGCAGGTACATACATACCTGATGATCAGAGCCTTGTGAGTTTACAAAGCATAGATGTACAGAAACCTGGCATGAGAAGCCAGAAAACAGCAGAGCTCAGACTGGAACAATAGAATGTATGTAGTTGAGTGTCAGTGTCCCTGTGAAATCCTTGTAGCAGTGTGAAAGGAGCAAAGAGGAAAATACCAACTCAAAATCAGTAGTGGATCTAAGCCTAGGAATAAAACAGGTTTTTCTTTAGTTGCGAACTGAGTTGGCTTTACTTACTGTCCTGTTTTTTCTTCCTATTTTCAATATGTGGCTATGAAATTGAGACCGACCACAAAAGTAATCCTTAAAGAGAGAGGTAACAGAAAGTTGAACTGATAAAACACATCCAAAATGCTTGCAGCTCTTTCCTAGGAGAGCAAAGCTCTTCAGAGAATAAGCACAAGACTCTTTTGGATCACAGATGGGAAAAGTCATCTGGTTTTAAAGGAAGGTGATACCTCATTGCATTTATTTTCAGAAGTTAGATGGGATAATTTACCCAGTTGTAGTACTGCTAGAATTGATTCATTGGTCCTTTTTATTATCAGAGCAAGTTGACTTAAATTTCATTTTCTCTTATGGAAAACAGAGGGATAATAGAAACAGAGGGATTTGAGGCTGCACTTACTGAGCCAAGCCAATTGTTTCACGTTTGATTTACAGTTGCTTTCCCCAGAGGACACAAGGTGGAAGTTCAAATAACCAGGGAGAGAGAAAATCTTTGTGCTCCAGTGAATAGCATATGAACACTGCTTTTTTACTCTAGAGCACCGAAAAACAATTTCACCTCTAAGCTTCCCTCTGGCTGAGCAATCTTAACTGTTTGTTTGAAATTGAATATGCCACCCAAAATATTTATTAGTACCATGAGTTTTAATGTTGATCGCAGACATGAAGGCTTCACATTGCAAGGCTGCTTTGTTCATACAGAAGCCTTTCAAGAGTATGTCTAGTTCAAGAAGAGACAGCCTCTGCATTCAGTCATCTGCGCTTACCAAAGGTGACAAGTTCTTTACATGATTTTTAATCCCCAGCTCCTCATTGGGATTTTGTATGGCAGTTGTTTTACAGCTAAGAAAAACTAAGCCACAGGCTAGAGAAATCTACTGCAAGACCTGCTCTTTCTCTTGCAGAAACTGAAGGAGAAACTAACCAGGCCAGGATAAGTGTTAGCTGACATACTCCAGCAAGCTTACAAATTTGACAATCTGTAATGTTTTCCAAAGCTTGTGAGTGAAGATAATCTCAGACTTCAGCAGAACTTAAATGTTCTTCAAAATCATGCTCCATCCTGCTGCTTTCTTGTGTCTTCTACCTCTACCCTACTTGAGTGGCATCCAGGTTCACAGAGGTCCAAGCTGACTGTGGCCCATCTAGGGTCCTCAGTAAGAGCATAGTGGAGCAGGTGCACAGGTTAGACTATAATGCTGCCCACAGGAGCATACAAGCTTCCCAACCATAAATATCAGGGAAAGACTGATAGCAGTCATAACCTGATAGTTACTATAGAAATGAGCATGATAGCATCAGTTCAATGACACAGAAACATTTTGCAATATAGGGGAAATGCCAGTTTGATAAAAAACTACACATTAAATTTTCTGAGAGCTTCCCGGCACAGTCAAGTGAGATTACTACTGATTTTAATTCCACTGTACTGGTATTTTAAAGTATATCAATGCCACTGAAAATACCAGTCCAGTGTTATTTTGATGACAGATAAAGTAGTGTACTACTCTTGAGGCTCAAACCAAGGTTGGGAGAAGGATCTGAGGAAATGCTGTGAAAGATCAATAAAACCTTGTGAACTGCATTTCAGCGCTTCAGTCACATCAGAAGGCTACATCTTTGGAAGTGACTTCAAGAATAATGGCAAGCCTCCTCACTGACAGTCCCAGCCCAGCAGGCTCAGCCAGCCAGTCACCTCTGATTTTCTTAATGAGCAACGTGGCTTACTAGCTTCATCAGTTTTTCCATCTCTTCTATGTGTAGACCCAATTACTGACGATATAACTTTGCAAACAGCAATGTTTTTGCATTAGGCAGACTCCAGCTCACTCATCTGTAACTTGTTTGTTCTGCAAGTGCAAACAGAAAAGCCAGGCCGTTTATGCCACTAAAGAAAGCTGCTGTGAGGCTGTCATCCACAGTAAATCTGGAGAACATGCAGTCTCCTCTCCTTTTACAATGTCATACCAGGATCATGCTTTCAGATCCTTTCTGAGTTGCAACTCAGAAGTGTGAAAGTGTTCAAGTGCGAAAATGTTCAAAAATCCAGAAACTCAGTTTCCTTTTTTGCTACTTTGGTACCAAATGGTATTAGCTAATGTCCTGTGAAGTGAGAATTTCTGATATTTTTGTCTGATATATTTGTATTTCAGGAGATTTCACGACATGTGCGGGAGTTGCTGGGGATTGAGGAGCCTGTCTTCAGCAGATCCATTGCCCTTCCATACAGAGACAACATGGGTCTGTTCCTGGAACAAAAGTCTCGATCAGGACAGAAAGCAGATGCCCTCACTTTCTCACAGTTTGTCCAAGAAGCAGGCTTAGAGCCCCATTCTACATTTCCTCCTTTGCAACAGGCACAGACTGGAGTAGAAATAGATGCTCTCCTTTTATCACAGAGCGCACAGACTCAGGATTAGAGTCTCACTGCAGTTCCATCTGTGTAAGAAGCCCACGTGGGAGAGCCGTATACACCCTTATTAGCTGGCTTCTTTGTCCAGGGTGGTATAGTTTCACATTTTTCATTATATAAAAGGCTATTGCAGCTCTTGGCATTTTGATGACAGCAAACACATGCCTGCATTGGCTCTTTTCTGTAAGAACTTTTTGCAATTCATGTGCTTCCAGGAACTAAATGAAACAAGACACATAAATGAGATGTGACTTTACCACTGACGATCTGTCTTTTATTTCTGCTTCACAGCTGATTAAGAAGACAAAAAATCAATCCTAGACATATTTTAATTTCCAGTGATTGGCAATAATTTCCCTGCTGCTCAAGTGAATAAATTTCTCCCAGGTGTTAGAGTCTACAGATTGGGAACACTGCTAACCACAAAGGTTAGACAAATGGCACACACATTGTCTGGTGCACAATTGTGTTGCCTGCTGCTATCAGCAATCTGGAGGTGCCAAGTTACAGTGTAAACAACCAATCCCTGCCCTAATCACGGAACTGATTTTGAGTGAAACAGAACCAAGAAGTGGTTTATCACAGTAAACAGTACTGCAACACAAGACAGGAAGTGTGAGAGAATACTGTAAGCTAAAGTAGAGAAGTTGAGGATTTGGACAAAATATATAGTTAGTTAAATGTTCTTTTTCTTTGAATGAAGTATCACAGAACCTGTAATAGCAATGGGACTTGAACTGTACAACTGCTGGAATACGTACTGTCACCAGCAAGGAATTGTGAGTTCAGTGTTGGTTAAAGTCTGGCTCAACTGAAAGAGTGCTCCTGACTAAATCTTCAGGATTTTGTTTGGTGACAGACTTCCCTGAGATTCTACATGGGAAAGAAAAATTGGCCCCGGTCCTGTTCAGTTCTTTGGGTCAGAACTGTACCACCACAAGTGAACTGTAATTCAGTTTTCTGTTGGAACTGCAACAGGAGCCCGGTGAAGCTGCGTCAGGTCACAGGCCAAGATGCCTGTGTGATAAGACGCAGATCAAAACCAGGCAAGATTCCAGCAGATTTAGAAAGAAGCTACTTTATGAAGAAAGTTTCACGAGGGGTGTGAAACTTGTAAAAGCAAGTATGTACATTCCTGTCTCAAAATGTGAAAATCAAGAGATCTCAATGCTGATACATTAATAAGGGGACTGCTTTTATGTTTGACAAGGCTGCACATGGATGCAAAATGGAGATCCTCAATGGCGGAAACAGAGTAGAAAGAAAGACAATGTAATTCTATTGTATAATCTTTTAGTTACTTCCATCAGTGTTTTGCATTATGACTAAGAAATTGATAAGTAAAGGTTTATTTGCTTTTTGGCATTATTTTTGCCTGGCAATATGAAGTCCTTACAGTGTGTTCTTCCACTAGATACTACTGAGACCAGCAAGAGAAACTGATGGAAGAGAGTTGTCAACATCTCTGGGCATTCATCCCTTTGGGACGAGATCTCAGCATAGCATTCTATCATGGATTTCATTTCAGTTTATGAGGATTTAGAATCATAGTCAGTAGTTTCCTCTGGAATTTCTGAAAAAACTTTCAAAGAAGTTGTGGACAGTGAGGAGTCCTGAATCAACATCATGCTGGGTTCTGCTATGGCTAATGTAGGAGAAGTCTTGGTGCTGGTCAGCACACACTGCTCTGTGGGCCAGTCTCCAAAAGATGACTGATACAGCAGAGCAAGGTGGTTCTGGACAGACTCACTCTTTTCTAGCAGCTGGCTAAAAGGAGACTCTCTCAGTTGTGCAGCTGTCAGGTCAAACCATGGGAAAGTTCTGAGGAGAGAAAACAGAATCTTCTATAGGCAATAATATCCTTGCTAATAATTTAACAAATATTAGCTTTCTTTACAATTCGAGTGCTGGCTTGGTTTTGGGAAACAATTGTACTCCAAGACCTGAATCTGAAGTTCCAGTCATTACTGCACCATTCAAAGCAAAATATAATGATTGTAGAGAGCTCTTGAACCAATAGGGGCATTTTCCCTCAAGCAGAATGTCCTAACTTAACATCCTCAATAATCTTATCTGTGAGCTAAAGTAAGTTAATTACCCATAAAAAATCTCCAAATATTCCCAGAGGATTTTGTTTTCTGCATCCAATAGCCCAGTCCTGGTCTGCGGCTTCAGACAGTCCTGACCAGTAGACAGACAGGAACTGGGGACCAGGACAAAACAACCCAGTGATGATAGTCCAAGTCCATTTCTAGCACATCTAAAGCAATCTTTCCTGGCACGTATACGGTCCCTAAGAGCAACACACATTTCAGCACCTTCCAACCCAGTAAGACAACTCCATGCTTCAGCTGTGGGACATGGCAAGTTTTAGAGCACAGAGACAGCCTAGGAGAGCAGTACTTCAGCATCCAACCATTTACTTACTCCTCTTGAGTCATTGAAGAGGCAAAACTTTTGCTGACAAAACTCTCGCATGTAAACTGTGGGCAGGAAGCTTTCTGCTCTGCACAGATACGGCAGTGTCCAGGGAAACAGAGGTCATTGAGCAATGTCAGTGCCTCCTGGTGAGGCAGGCTCTGCCACATGCTGCTGTTCAGGGCTGCATAGAAAATGCCCACCAGCCATTTGCCATTGACTTTTATTTTCGCTGCACAACAAAGAAAATCAAATGTCAGTAACCAGTGTGCACACAGGTGTGAAGAGAGATCCTCAGCCCTCTCCTGTAAGCAATTGCATTAGCAAGGAGAGCAAGCTTATCTGAAATCTCTGTTTTGGGATCATTTTAGGTGAGGGACCTAAAATTAATGTTCACTATCAAGTTTAACCAAAATGAGAGATTGTACCTTGGGAGCTGAGGGGGCATGTTGCCTGCACAACAGCAAGGTTCTGTAGTGCCTCTGTGACCGACCCCTTTGTCCCCCACTCCTTTGTAGGCTCCTTACCAGGGCACTGGTACTGCGGCCTCACGATGGCATTGTAGCAAAGGAGTTGCTTCAACCTGAAAGCAAAGGCAGCCCGAGGAGGAAGGGTGCCTAGGCTCACCTTGCTTCAGAGCCCCACCCCAGTCCTTCAGTGACCAACAGCTGGGGAGTGGCTGAGTATGACCGGGTTTGAAGTAATATTTTGCAAGAAAATCATGAGATGCTGTAAGAGCCGTGCTCCAATGCCAGCACTGTGCTGTATTTGCCCCATGAGCTTCGGGATGAATGGTAGCATGTCCAAGTGCATTTTACCTGGGCAGAGGAACGGCAGTGATGAGGCTGTACACGATGCAGGGTTTCCGGATGGCTGGCTGCACTGCAGAGCAGACGGACGGCACGTGCGATGGCAGGCAGCAGAGGAACAGAACATCTGCCCAGGCTGCCAGCTGTGCGTTGTCGTAGAAGCAGGTGAGCCCTAGTTTCTGCAAGTCTGCTGCAGCAAGGCACACAGGGCTCAGAGCCCATGGTCCCAGCAGTGGCAAAAGGCACCCCATGGCCTAGCAAGGGGCTTGCCCTGCGGTGGTGGGACAAGGAGAGGGATTCTTTTGGCGAGCTGCCTTCTCTACTGGATGGCCACGTAACAGCCTGGGGTCACAGTCACCCACCCAGTCCCTGACAAGTGATAAGGAGAGCTTCAAAAAGAGCAGTCAAATGTGTGTGTGGAGGGGGGTGCTAAACTAAAGTGGGCCTGAAACTAGCTAGTTTTGAAAGGAACAGGGTGGATGGTCTCCACCACGCTCAGCTGGCACTGCTGAAGAAAAGCAGAAAATTGAACTCATGTTTGTACAGAGGGCTTCCAGCCAAAAGAAGATCTTTCCCACAACAGCATGCTCTTCTTCCAAATAAAATTTGGAGTTTCTATACATCCAATATATTTGGCAGGAAAACTTTCTCTAGTGAGTTCTTCCTGAAGGGCCATCAGAAGCACAGCAGAAGCCCACCCTGCTGCCTGGTCCAGATGGGGAACACTTACACAGGCTCTCAGGGCGCCGGGTAGAAATGCGAATGCTGGAGCAAGGAGCCCGACCCACTGCCACCAGTGCTCGGGCCAGCTGGTTCCCAAGGCGGCCTCCACCAATAATGCCAACCTTCAGGCTGTGGCTATCTGCCAGAGGAGTCAGCAAGGCCTTCCCAGTGCTGCTCACCCTGGAGAAGCGGAGAAATTTTGTCAGCCCCTTGGAAGCCATGATTTCCCTGTGCCACATGCAGTCCTGCCCTTTCAGGACTTCCCCAGGCCATAAGTTTACATAGAGCATCCCAGCCCCACCCTCTGATCCCACCCTGGTCTCCAACAGTTTCCAGAATGTCTGATTCTGTGTGCAGCAGCCATGGGGCTTGGGGCTGGATGCCAAGGGGCATGGCATCCACACTACTCATGCGGGGGCTAACTGACCACTCTGCCGGCCCAACCTATCAGGCAACCAAACCCCATGTGCCAGGAGGGACCCCACGATGTATGTCTGCCTAGGGGAAAGCCACCATTACACTCCCAGGAGGAGGGGGATGAAAAGGGGCCCTGAGATCAAGGACCAGACAAGTTGTTGTGATGTCTGTGGCACTGACGTGAGCTGCTGCAAAGCAGCTCAGCAAATAAAGAGCTGATACTCAGCACGTCAAGCCCCATGACAGCACCAAGCTCAGGGAGAAGTCAGCATGAGGAGCATAGCCTAGTGTCAGCAGGACTGCTGTTGAGAAGGGACATGGGACACCATGTGCTGAAGTAGGACTATTTGCTCATTATAAATCACATATACTGGAGGTAGAAACAAGTCACAAGCATGGAAAACCACCAGGTTTCTGGGATGAAAACTCCTTTGGTAATGGAGGCAATCTTCTTTCCTTGGTTTTCTCAGAGGGAAAACAGCCTAACTAAGGGGAAAATCCCTGAGTATTAAGACTGACTGCAATTTCAGACAAAGCTGGATGTTGAGTAGCAGACAAGTGTGGGTATAAATACTAGGTGACTTTTTACCCATCTAGAACCAGATAAAAAGCAATCAAACTATATCACTGCATACACATACCTGTATAATCCTTAACTTCATAGAGAGCTGGCGGGAGCCATGCAAGAAGCTCCCTACAGAGACCAGCCACTTCCCCAGCTCTTCCAGTGACACACTATCTGGTGCTATCTGGAACTACCCCAGGATAGGTGGTGGTGCACCTTTGCCATGTCTTAGCTCAGTATTTTTAGTGGTTTTATGATTTTTTGTTATTGGTATTCCACATCATAACGTTGTGTGGTGCACTGGGATTTAAAAGAGTTAATGCTGCAGTTC